TCAAGCTGGAGATCATTGAATTTTTATCTTCATTCAAAAAAAATTATCTGACCAGTGATACCACATGGGTTTTCTTTAGTTATTAGTTATTGTTTTTAGCTAGGCTCTTTCCCACATAGGTTAGGAAGAACATGGAAGCATATTCTCTATTTATCTAGTGGTTAATTAGCCTTGGAGCCTCAGGTATAACTTTGTTTCCTTCCTTTCTTTGAAGACTGTGATTTTTACAGCACTGGCAAGAGATGCAAAAACAAACCCTCTTAGTGAGCTCACAGTTAACCAGCAGTGAGAGTCTGGCCTTGTCACTTACTGGATGACAAGATCCTGCAAAGTTCAGAAATGGCCCCAATTAAAAGGCAGCAGGCATGGGAACAGAAGTGAAGGGGGAAAAAACCTGCAAGTCACAGGGTCCTGAGTCCTTGCAAAGGCTGTCTTCCTCAGGGCAGAGTCTCTGCCCATTCATTCTCCTGCAATTATCATTCTTAAAATCACCCCTGTGGCATGACCTCCCCCACTGACATTCATGCCTCCTTTGGCCCCTCCTCACAGAAATCCTACAGCATTTACACTGGACTCAGGCAGCCCCGTTCTCTCTGTGTGGGTATGTACAGAGCCCAGAGACACCCTCTGGTGCCATTTCTCAGGTCCACCTCGTTCTTTTTGAAAGTGCCTCTGGTTGACCTGTAACTCTCTAAGAAGGCGAGGCTGGCTGGTGAGTGAGCCTGAAAGGCCTGCTGCCCCAGCCTCCCTAGGGCTGGGGTTCCCACGCCAGCCCAGGTGAGTCCTGGGGATCAAACCCAGACACTGACTGGCTAGCTATCTTCCAGCCCCCTGCTCCCCATTATGCACAGACCTGGTGGGCTCCTTCTGCCAACAGCCACTCTGCAGACTGTTGGTGGGATACTGGATACACAGCTGCTGCTAACGAAATGCTGGTTGAACACTTTCCTGAATTCTGCCTTCTTTTGGTAAAAACGTGATAGACTTGTAAAATGTTTATTTAAAGGAAGATAAACTTCAAGGAAAGCTCCTCCTGGCCCTAAAATCGACCTGCTTGGTCCTGTGCCAAATCAGTGATTTTCCTTATCTTCAGGCTACAGTCTGGGGAGGGAAGAGTGCCAGGCTAACAGCTTGGCTGGTGTGTGTTGGAACTGTTGGAGAAGGGGGTTGAATGTTGACACCTATAGCCAGGCACCTCTGCAAAGTTTACTCTGAGTATAGGAATCCTTTAGTGAGTAAATGGAAAAAAAAAAATCTCCGTCCTATAAATCTGAGTGGAATTTCTACTTTGGGCCAGGGCAGAAGTTATTCACCATGGCTCTTGGAATCTTGGGACACACTTGTCCAAATGGGCACCAAATAAAACGAGAAAAGTCTTAGCTTCATATTTTAAAATGAGTTTTGCTTCCAGGTGATGGACTGGGCAGGCTATATTGGCAAGGGCAGGACTGGGCAGGCTGTGATTGGCACAGGCATGACTAACCCTTTGCTTAGGCCCCAGGGATCATTTCTGATCTGAAAAACACATCCTCTGGACGCACACGAGCCTGAGACTTCATGTCACTTCTGGATGACCAAGCCTTCCACCTTCCACAGAACCTCTGCTTTGCCCAGGCAATTTGAGTGTTTTGAGTTTCTTTCTGCTCAGGTCCTGGAGGGGAATGGAGCTCTATGTTTGTACTGGGAGTTTTTATTTTTATTTTTAATTTTTTTTGTCATCGTGTTTGTTTCCTTCTAACCACTTAAGTGTGGTTGAGTGACAAGCCTGTACACCACAGACATGTCTTGTCTCCAAAGAGTCTGTCTGTTACCATGGGACCCAGGATAGGGACCCATTTCTCTAGAGAGACTCAGTTCAAACTGGATGTGCAACTTAGGCTGGCTCTCAAGTTAAGATCCTCCTGCCTAAACCTCCAGAGGGCCGGGCTTACAGGCGTGCACCACCACACCCAGCAACTTCAAAAGTTCTGTTTAAGCTTCCATCACAAAACGGTGACTGGCTGCCAGGCCCTCTGCACAGTGCAGAGACTGTTTATAACACTCGTACGGCGTCAGCTGTGCAAACTTGACCACCTTTTCTTCCCGAGTTAGGAAACAGAAGTACAGGAGGGGAGAGCAACCCAGACATAACAGGTAACCGGCACAGCGATGTCCCTGTGTCCCCTCAGCTTTCCTCCAGCCAGCCACCAGCCAGTGGCTACCCCATCCTTTCAGATGTAAGGTCTGGCCCTTGGGGACATCTGGTCCTTTTCTTCTCAGGTTTCACATACAGTGCTTCAGGAGAGGTGGGAGCCTCTCCGCTCCCTTCCTATGCAGAGCCCTTCTTCACCAGCCACACCGCTGCTGCTGCATGCCGGTCCGCCCACTGCCTATCTCCACGGGGTGAGCCCAAGCGCTCACCAAGTCCCACATGCTTCGTCCCCAGTCACCCCCCCTGGCTGTCACTGTCTTCATCTTATCCCCTGCAGAGACCCACTGCTGGCCTTCTTACTTTGCCTTGGATGCAGGGGTCTCTGGCCTCAGGGTCGGAATGTTAGGGGTCTTGCTTTGGAATTTTCTATCCTCCTCAATCCTCCTGTCCTCACAGTTAACTTCCTCACCATCCAGGGCTCTGCTCAGATGCCACCTTCTCAGTACATCCCCTTTTGTGTCTACACTGGAGCCCACTTGCCGGAGCAGTACCAAACCCTCTTATTTAGTCTTTTTTTCCTTATTGCATATATTATGTTTTAACGTAGCATGGAATCATTTCTTATGTTTACTATTCAGCATGCAGCCTCTACCCTCTGTCTACTGATGTATTCTAAGTGCCCAGGAAGGAACATCTTGTGATCAATGGTTCTGTTGAGTGGGTGAACGAATGGTCTTGTATCTCAAATCTTAGGGTAAACAATAATTTTCCTATAGACCAGCAGAACAATCTCAAGTGAAAAGGAAACAACTCAGAATATATTGGAGGGTGATTTTAATCAAGAATCTGTTAAACAGGAAACTTGGTGACATAGTCAGAGAAAGGTAATCTGAGGTGTAAGTGGAGGCTGGAGTGAGACACAGTAGGCCTTTCCTGGGAATCACTTAAGCTTTGCAACACATTGTTAAGGCTACCCTTTCTTCTTCAGAGACTCAAATTTAAATTTGCAGTCTTGTATTTTCGTACCGCAAGCTTGGTCACTCCTAAGATTTTGTTCACGTTCCAACTTCCCTTGCCCTTGCTGACTCAAGAGCTGTAACTATTTGTCTGTGGTGTGGACAGATATAATAAGGAATACAGGTCCACGCTGCTGGAGCACTGTGAGACTGCAGGAACTCTGGGCGCAAGCTCTTAGAGTTGGTGTATATTAATCAGTTCCTGTAGGTTGACTGGTTCTAAAAGAGTCAGATCCTAAAAGACTAGAGTAGGGACACCTGAAGGCACTTTGCTCCTGCTCAGGTGTCAAATTTGGTAGTGTAATGCTCAGCTATCCAGAGTGGATGGTGGACCCGATGTCAGAGCCAGGACCGTTTCTAAACAGTGACACATCTCTGTGACGATATTAGTAGTTTTGGTCAAGTGAACCTTTCCCATCATCTGTCCCTGTGACACTGGCTTATTATCCGCACAGGATGGAGTCTTCCTGTAAGGAGGTGTTAGGAAGGACAGTCATTTGCAAGGTGAATTGTTTCTGCCTCATTTGGCTTTAGGGCACACTGCTATTGACCATCTACCTGTGGCAATGCTAAGGACCTAACGCCAATTACTAAAGAGTCCTAGTAGCATCTTTCCCAATGGCTAACCAGGGACGACCTTTGTCACTTACTTAAAGAGAGAAAACATCCACATAAAGGTGGTGCTAGAAACACCTCCTTTAGGGAATGTGTTCTTTACTTGAGTGAACTGAGGCCCAACTACCCGGGTAGGCTGAGCTCTGAGACGGTGAAGGTCAGAAGGGACCTCATAAGCCCATGCGGTCCCAGGCACGTCTCCCTTCCCTGCATCACTTCCCAGAGTGCGCTGGGATCACCAACACCAGTGCTCACGCTCAGGCAGGGGAGCATGAGGTGAAGTTGTCACACACACTCCCTTCCTTTTAAACATGCATTCTTTATTTATTTATTTATTGGGCATCACATTAAAAGAAAAGAAAAGAAACAGCTCCTCAGGCAACTTTGGGGGTAGCCAGAAATGAAAATTGTCCAACAGGAGGGAACCATGTCATAAGAGCCGGCAGAGACTACTTTGTGGCCCTAATGCAAGGTCCCTTTAACCTCTTTCTCTGGCTTCCTTAGTTTTTTGTTTTGTTTTCCTGCAGATGGGCGGTTCTCAACCTTCCTAATATTGTGACTCTTTAATACAGCTCTTCATGTTGTGCTGACCCACTACCATAACAATATTTTCGTTGCTACTGCATAACTGAAATTTTGGTACTGTTATGAATCTTAATATAAATATCTGTGTTTTCCGATGGTCTTGGGAGACCCCCGTGAAAGGGGTGTTGACTCCCAGAGAGGTAGCAACCCACAGGGTGAGAACCACTATTTCCACAATCACATAAAAGACTTTCCATTTTCTCATTCTTAAATGATAGCTTCTCTATAACATACAGGCTCTCTATGTCTTCCTTTAGCTGGCACCGATTTCCTGCTTCCAAAAAAAACCAGAACAAACAAAACCCCAAACTCTTTAAAAACATGTTTTCTGTGTTGGCCCATTCCTTCCTGACTACCTTCTCAGAGTGTCTAAGCCCAGGTCCCACCCTCACTGTAGTCAGTCGAATCATCTGGGCAAGACAGAACAACCAGGGCTCTCCCTCAACACCAGAAATGGAGAGCCCAACGACCTGGCACAGCATCACTGATACCCTTCACAGAAAAGCACACCCTGACCCGGCTGGCATCAGGGCTCAGCGGACGGGAAGGACAAAGAACCAGAAGACATCCCATGGCTGATGGTGGAGAAGGCTGAGGTTTAGGAAGAGCAGTTGGAAAAGATAATGGCAAAGGGGCGGAAGGTTCCGACTTACACACTGTGTGGTGGTGATGATGACGGAACTGGAGATGAAGGACAGGCCGTCATTCATGCTGACTTGCAGTGCGGCTTTCCTGCAACGGCCAAAGAACCAGACGGGCTTAACACAGTGTGCTGTGAACACAGCTCAAGAGTCAGAGAGAGCCTGGCCGTGTTCTGTGGGGCCTGAGACTCTTCCCTGCAGCATGGAGAGGACACCCTTTCAGGACCACAGATCTGTGACATCCAAGAGATGCTGGGATGCGCTTAGCTGATATGTCAAGGCATTAACTTTGCATTGTGATGGACAAGCAAAGCCTTTGTTTAGCCCGTTTGTTATGCTTCATGATAAGATAAAGCTTTCTTTCTTTGTTTGTTCCTTCCTTCCTATTTTTCTTCTTCTTTCTTTCTTTTCTTTTTTTTGAGACAAGGTTTCTCTGTGTAGTCCCTCGTGGCCCTGAAACTCAGCTTGGGAGACCAGGCTAGCCTCTTAGATCCACCTGCCTCTGCCTCAGCTGGGACTAAAGGAGTGCACCACCACACCTTGGTGGAGAAAGCATTCTTCAGAGCCACCCAAGTCATAGGGATAAACTGGACAAACTCTAAACTGTATGCTCAGCTCTTGCTCAGTGGTCTGATGGGGCAGTTTTGTGACTCCGCGTTAGACTCATGGAGATACAGCTCTGGACAGACTGGAAGGTCTCACCAAGATAATAACTCACGTCTCACTATCTAATTGTGGGCTGGGGGGTGGTGCAGGTAGCACACCCCAGGGTCACAGGCTGATTGCAGACACTCAGTCAGAGGTCTTAGTGGGACCGAATGGTGATAGGACACTTCGGATGAACAACTTTAATGTTTTCCGTGGAAGCCATCTCCAGAATGCTAGCCATGGTTCTGGGGAGGCTCTTTTCTGTCCTCCGTAATAACCTGGGTTCTCTGGGCCCCACAAAGCCCTGTTCTAGCTCAGGCTGTTGACTCGCCTTTACTGACATCTCATCAGCACTTATTTCAATGGGTGCCATGTGAGTTCAGGGGTTACAGGTGAACACCTGAGGCTCTGTGGAGGGCTGAGGGAGGGTTGAAGGCCATGAACTAGCCACAGCACTTGACTTTGCCTTTCTGAGTGTCCTCATCTTGAAGGAACAGGTAACAGTCACTTTCCAGGACACGGATGACAACAGGGTGACGTCATACATGTGAGAACTTTCTAGAAATGTGGCTGAGTCAGCAGACCCAGGCTTGGGCTCAAGCTCTTCCACTGGCTGCTGCGTGTCCCTGAGCAAGTCATTAAAATCCTTTTAGCCTGAATGGAAGTGTGTCTTAGTCACTGTGAACTATGGAGGATGAGAGATACTCAGTCACCCGCCTGGCGCCTGCTTCTCCATAGCTTCGGCACCATCGTCACTGGTAGACTCCAGAGAAAGATCCCACAATGATAAGGAAGAGAGATATCAGTGTTCCTCTGACCCCTCTGCCTCCTCCTCCCTGGTTGCAGGACTCTGCAGCTAAGGAAAACTTACATGCCAACTTCTTTTAAGATTGGCGCTGGGCACAGCAAGTAAGTATCTTCCACAGCAAAGGGCTTCTCATCTGTAAAAAAGAAAAGTCACAAGTTACGGTCTCCAGTTCAGTATCCTTGGAGGTTGTCAACCAAGTCCAGAGGGACAGGAAGAAAACAGAGAACCGTGTGAAACGAAAGCTCCTCTTGCACTGAGTTATGGTTGGAATCTAAAATGCCCCCTGAGGGTTTACTGTTGAAACCAAGTCGCCATGGTGGTAGAGGTGGGGCCTAGATGGGCTGGAGTAGTCACTGGGGGGCTAGATATTGCTGTTCTTTTGGTAGTATTCTCTCTCTCTCTCCCTGGCTGCCATGAGGCAAGGAACTTTCCTCCTTCACACCCTTCCAGCTTGATGGACTGACTCCCCTCTTTGTTTACCTTGGTATTTGTCAGAGCAGCAGAAGGCTGACATACATGGTAGCCCCTCCCCACATTCACACCTGGCAGCACCCCAACAGATGCAGTCGCATGCACTAGGAAGAAACTCAGTGCCTCTTTCCTGATGCTGGCCTCCTGGCCCCATGTCCATATAGCTGACCTTCTTCAACAACATAGTTTGAGAGGTTCTGAGGGGAATCAAGTCTATACCAAGCTTGAGAAAGGCGGACTTTATGGAGAAGATGCTCTGCAAACACAAGCAGGTGCAGCAGGTAGCCCTGGGTATCAGAAGGCAGGTGGCTTCCTTTCCATAGCCATACGGTCAGGTCTCAGGAAAAGCCAGGCAGGAGTTGTGCTCTATTGGAGACCTGGGAAGAGGCAGCTCTGGTGGGGCCTGGCATGAAGGACTCAGCAGATACAAGTATGCCCTAGGGTAGGTCAGCACGAATTGTATGGAGGCCGCAGGAGACAGTTATTCACCACGTTCATCATTAGTACAGAGCAGGGCCTTTGCAGAGACAGCAAGTTGATAAGTAAAGCACTTTTGTGCAAGCATGAGGACCCAAGGTCCGATCCTGAGCATCTGTATAAAAGCCAGGCAGGGTGGCTGGCCCTTGAAATCCCAGCACTGAAGAAGCAGAGACAGCAGGTAGCTGGGGTCCACTGACTCGCTGGGCTAGCTGAAGTGAGGCTTCCTTCTTGGGTAGCACGCAGGCAGATGGCTGCAGAATCTGGAAGGCCAGTCAATCAGGTCCTCACCACTTTGAAAGCAGTCTGCTCGTGACAGTGCTGGGCACTACAGCAAGAAGGGGTATCTCTCTCTGTGTGAGTGTGTTTTTGTATGTGTGTGTATGAGAGAGGACTGAGTGTGTGAGAAAGCAGTGTGTGTATGTGACGTGTGTGTGTGTGTGTGTGAAAGACAGCAAGAGAGAGGACTGACTATGTGAGAGGTTGGAATTTTTGTGTGTGAGGGAGGAGTGTGTGTGAAAGAGACAGCAAGAGACAGGACTGTGTGTGAGAGAGGGGTGTGTGTGTGA